TCAATGATGTAATTGCTGTTTATTTTCTGAGTTTCTGTGAAGACTACATTGCAGCAAAATAATATGAGGGTCTTATTAATTTGCTGGATGAGACTCTATTACAGGTCCTAATGAGTTCCATATTTTAGGAAAAGAATCAGAGATCCCAGGCAATAGAGGTATCCCTTGTGGAAAATTTGTTAATCTGTGAACATGGTAGAACTGATCTCTTTCTCTCAATATTTTTATATTGTTGATTTTGGTTAAGAAGTCATCGAGATGCAGCTTTACTTCTGGAACTGGGGACATATATATCAGGAATAGTGGTCACAAGATGGTATGTTTAAAGAAGTGTTATAGTGATGGAAATAATCAGGTTTAGTATATTTATAAACAAAAAACAAGTCTTTGCTAACTGTATAAAAAAGCTTCAGCTATTGATTCTGGCTTTGTTCACAGAGTGATTCTAGTGGATTGAAGTGATCTCTGCTTCCTTATATATCGACAGTAACTCAATAATTCTTTTTTTAAATAATGTAGGAGTACTGCTGTTTGTTCAGCCAAGTAACTCAATAATTCAACTGCAATGGAGTCTTCTTTGGCTTAGAGGTACAAATTGACCCAGAGTCATATAGTCACACTACATGACTCTGGCTTAGAGATACAAATTGATCCAGAGTCATATAGTTATGAATCTTGCATAGAGTATTGAGGAGTTTCTTAACCTTTCAGAGAACTGCTATTACCAGGGATTCTTCAGTCTTGTTCTAGAGTATTCATAAAAGATTAACAATACAGCACATTGACACCTGAATCCTTACTTATACCAGGTCAGATCAGGCACCTTCTGACAGAGGAATGAGTGATATTCTACCTTTTTCTGATTTTTATCACACATCAGAGTTCTTCTTAAAATAGCATTTACTGCTGAAATTGAGATGTTTTGAGTAGGAGCAAAGTTAATTATTGTTCTTTACTACTTAAACATACCCAGAGATGTTTTTGGAATCAGTTTACCTGATCATTCCAGAAACATCAGAATCTCACTGATAATTAGTTCCAAATGGTAAGCACACATTACTAGGGAATCTCAGGGCAGCAGATGGTATTACGAATGATTTACCATGATTCCACATGTGTGATATGATATAGACCCCATCAAAGCCATCTCCCCAAACCCCATAACTCACGTCTTTCCCAAGCCTAAGTGCTTTATTCATGTGTGGCAATAGGTGGAATTAAAACATAATTTACTACCAGCAGGTAGTGACAAGAGAGCTGGTGTCGATGATTTTCACCCTTCCTAACAAATGTCACTGAGCTCAGTAGGAGACAGCATAGCACACTGCATTATGTGACAAGAAAATATTTTCCTTTTCCTCTATCATTAGAAGCAAAATCAAACACAAGTTTCTCAGGGAGAAAATGCCCCAGCATGGATATTTCCATATCTGGCAGGGATAGGAGATTATGATGCCAGGTATAGGGGTGAAAAACAAATCTGTATTCCTATGGAAGCATACACTAGGTGTGAATATAGATAATTTCAGTGATCTAATGTGTGTGCGTGTATGAGAGAGAGTGAAAGTGAGAGAGATTAAACTATATTCCATTTCAAAAGCAACAGAGAGAGTGAGAGATGAATCTAAATTATATTCCATTTCAAAAGCAACAGATGATGAGGCCAGCAGATAGTACCGCTAGGTGGTATAGTTATCCTCTATCCCACTATAGAGCCCAAGCAGCAACCTCAGACCTCTGTGCTCAACTCCTGAGACTCACCAGTGGAGGCTCCATACCTCCTAAGCAGCATTTGGGATCTTGCCCTTTCTGTCCAGAACAACAGATGGACAGAATTTTTAACAACCTTACAAGTTTTTCCTGTTCATTTACTGCCATCCTGACACACAGAACATAAGAGCCAGAAGGGATATTAAAGACTGTTAATTCAGACCTACAAATGTCCAAATAGGACATGCAAAAAGTGTTCAGCAGCAGTTATTATCAAGGGAACTACAAATCAGAATCACAGGTAACTTCTCCATTTGTTAGAATAACAATTATCAAACAGATGAGATAAAATGTGTTGGTTAGAATAAGTAGTAAGGAAAGACCATGTTTTTAGTATTGTTGATGGAAATGTTAATTGATATGGCAATTTTCAGTATACTGAAAACAATATAGAGGTTACTAAAATTTAAAGTAAACCTAACAAGTGATCCAGCAACTATGTTTGTGGGTATACATACAAAGGTAATGATATCACTATCTTGAAGAGGTTTGTACGCCTGATATTATTGATAATATTTATACACAATAGCCAAGTCCTCGAAATGACCAAGTTATCTATTGATGATGACTGGATAAAAAAAAGTGAACTAAAGAGGTAGATCAACAGGATTACTGCATGCTTTGCATGTAAAAGACATGGGTTCAATCTCTAGCACTGCATGATTCTCTGAGCACCACTGGAAAAAATACTCAAGCACAGAGCCACAAGTAGCTCCTGAACACCAACAAATTTTGCCAAAAATAAGAAATAAAGAAAAAGAGTAAAAAGAGAAAGAAATGGGATAGGCATGCACATGTATATGGGGATATTGGCAAATATATATCAAAGGGTATAAACATCCAGTTTGAAGATAAATAATGTACAGTGTGACCATAATTAACAATATAGCGTTGTATATTTGAAAGTCACCAAGAGATCATATCTTAAAAGTCCTCAGCAAAAACATCAATTATGTGATGATCAAAACATTGATGAATTTTTGGTTGAATAAGTGGAAGTTTCAAAATGAAAAATTACTCAGTGACACAGAATTATAAATAAAAGAACCAGAATAAATAAGTTAACTCCTAATATGTATTTTTCAGTGTATTCCCTTATTTTCTATCTAAATACATTTATATTCTACTTCTAAAATCTCTTCTTTTGATAGAAATCTGCTGACCTACCTAGAAAACACATTTTGTTTCCTCTTACAATTACAAAATGAAGTGAGTCAGAAAGAAAAAAGATAAACACCAGATGATCTCACTAATATGCAGGGTACAAAGAAACAAAACAAAGTATTAGACAATCCCTAATGGAAACAACTCCAATATATAGTCAACAACAGTGATCGGTAGGTGCTAAGGTGGTGGTAGGTAAGTGATTTAGGAAAATTGTGGAAGTATCCTGGCACTCTGGTGTAGTAGCTCTGCAAGTATAAAATGATAATATTTGTGCTAATGTTATATACCAACTATTATAGTCTGCTATAATATTGAACTTGTAAAGGAAACTTCATACCGTTGGGCAGGGCAGATGGTAAAAAGTTTGTCACAGGAATTTATGGAACCTAAATAATTTATGGCATCTAAATTTATGTGCTGACTTCGAAACTCTGTGCTCACCCTGAGAGACCCTGGAATTTGTGGGTGGCCATCTATGCAGGTTCTCTGATAAGTAACAGAAAAGTGACTTGACCCTCAAGTATAAAATAAAACATTTTCTTCATTTCAATATATGACTGTAGACATATTTTGCTCACTTTATATCTCATTAAGATGTGGGGTAATGTTCTGTTTTACGACAGATTGCAGTTAATCTGGCATGCTATTAATTGACATACTGAAGTGCAGTTTTAGGGTATACATATAATTGTAGTCTTTGAGTCATTTGTCAAGGGTTGGAGACCTTGGCACACTACAGTGGATTTTGAATAAACTTCATGTTCTACTCTCCTATATTTGGTCTTGGCAGCTCTCATTTTCAGGCAAACTCAGGAGAAACATGGTTGTGGATATATATCATATAAATAACCAAAAATTAAAATTAATTATGAAGTTAAAATTTTATAAAAGGACAGTGTAAGGGGTCTTGGGTACTTAACTGATAGTGAAGGTATGCATTGAAACCAAAATGTTAACACTATTGTTGCCATGCTGCTAAAACTACGATAAAAATTAAAACTATATAAGCAGTCCCTTACTACTTAAAATTTTTCTTACCAAAAATATGACCCATATGTCTCCTGTTGCATCATAAACCCATTTCTTTTTGGTCTGTGCATAGTACAAATAGATCACAGATGCTTACTATCACCAATAATATTTAGGAAATTAGGACAAAAAGTGTAGCTTTTTTAGATTAAATCATTCTGATGTGTGAAACCAAATGTGAGAAATACTATCTCTGAAGGAAGGAAAGACTCAGGGATTTTCATTTTGTATCTTTGTGCTAGAGAAAAAACTTATAGTAACAGACGAACCCATGGGTATTTATTAACAGTAGCTAAACTTATAAATTTTCTAACATATAAACAAGGAGTCAGAAATCTTTTGTTAGTATTCTATTTCAAAAATGAAAAGGAGAACATTGTAAAATAAACTGAGGTTTATATTTTCATTGGCATAAAAAATTCTGAGCTGGAACTAGAATGCTATATCCTATAGTTTTTTCTTTTCTGGTTTAGAGTAATAAACACAATTTATTTAAATATCAAAATGAGTAAAAATAGATTCAGTGATGGATTCTAGTTAAGTGTCTCTCAAAATGGATAGCTGTTACTCATATATCCCAGTCAAGAAATGTTACTTTCTGAGAATCTTGTCTTTGGCAGTGGAAAGAAGAGAGGAATGTGTATGTAGTAAAGTGAAAGATATGGTCCTCCTTATCTTGAGAACAAGATCAATTTAGTCTATCCCAGAGATTAATGAGAGCATGGTATAGCAAAAATGTGTTCAGATCCCCAAACTCTCCTTTCAAAGGCAAGGCAAGAAAATAAATCCAGAGATTTAACAAGTAAAACAAATCCCCTTATACACTGCTAGAACATCCCTAGAGATTACTGACAATGGACTAAGAACCCAAGATGAGTTTCCTGTGAAAGACTTAATTCAGTCTAACGTCTGAGAAGGGTAATGTTAAATAATTGAGGCAGACATTCATTGAGCCTCCAGAATTGCCAATGTGCTCCATGCCAATGTGACTACTGAAACCAAAGTAGCCACCCCTATAATACAAAGATACTCACGGCAATAAGCTGGTAGGAGTTGTTCATCATGGCGATCAGCATGTTAAGCAGCACTACCAGGGAGATGACATTGTATGTCCCAAACATGGTAGCTCCCACAAACTCTGTAAACTCGTGCCTGGCTTTCACATTGGTGACATAGAGATTTAAAAGGCCAAATACAGACCAGAAGAGTGACTGAAGGGTTTCAAAGAGCCTAAGAGAGATGAAAGACCAGGTTAGTTCATTGTCTCCTAGACAATTTAAGAACAAGAGAGAACATGTTAGATGATCTTAATGAAGGAGCTGCCAGATTTGCACTTAAGACATAGATTGATGATTTTTACATATTTCAGTCTCTTAAAACAAACTAGTTAGGTAAATTTATTCCATTTTTTGTGTGTCTTATGTTTTGTCCTGTCACCTGGAATATCTTTCCCTTTTCTCAAGTCAAAAATAGCCTGTATTTCTCTAATACCTATTTCAAAGTCTCCATGTTTCACCATATCTTCTCTTTATCTTCAGGATTTGTGACTTACAGTAAATACAGTGGTTAAGAATATGGTTGATGGGTTATACTACATTGAGTTAAAATCTCAGCTCTGCAACTTGCTAGGTGAGTGGATGTGAGAAAGTGAACTTTTCTGATACCTTTATGCTTTCACAGAGCCCATAATGGTGAATGCTAAACTTCTAGAGGGACATAAGGACTCTTGAATAAACATCATTCTTAGATTACTTGTAATGAGGTATTTATTTAAAATTATTGATAACTTATCACATAAACATATTAAATATTTTATAAACATTATGATCCTGATTAAAACTTTATTGTTACTGCTGAAATGGAATGATTTGTCCCACAGTGTCAGTGCGGAACCAGAGTTCAAATCCAGGTATATCTTAGCACCTCAAGCTACCGCATTATATTATATCTCATAACTTCACAAATTAATATTTATTCTTTTTGTCTCATATCCAAATATATGACTTTTCAATAAAGTTTTTTTTAACTTTTATTGAGATTCTGTGGTTTTACAATACTATTAACAATGGTTTCTCATGCATCACCAGTGTACCCATCTCCCTTCCCAAGGATCTCAATCTCTCTCAATCCCCCTTTCCAACTCAATTGTGTGAATCCATTTTCTAATTACATTGCCTTTGTACCTTTGTTGCTATCTTGCGGTATATCTTTGACTCCCACATATGACAGTGATCACTCTGTATCTGTCTTTTTCCTATTGACTGACTTCATTCAGTATGATATCCTCTACCTCATCCCTGTTGCTATAAATTGCATGATTTTTAAAAAAATTCTTAGAACTGTATAGTATTCTAGAGTGCCTATCCCCAAACACAAAAATATTAATTTGAAAGTATACATACACACACCTATGTTCATCACTGCACTTAGTAAAATAGCCAAGATAAGAAAACAAAGGTAAATGGATCAATGATATGTTTTTGATACCAAGAGTTTCTTTTGACTCATGTTAAAAAATCTGTGCGTACAATAAAATGTAGCCAGATTGTGGGTATTATAAGTCAACCTTTTCTCAAGCATATGGAAGAGGTTACAGAACATGCCAAAAGACAAATTAATATCAATGCACTTTAGCTCAATGAGAATTGTGTCAAATCCAATGTAGTTTGAAATAATTAGTGATTTGTCTTAGGCTCATTTAAGGAGATGGTAAAAGTTATAAATATTCCCTTATCCTGTGAATAGTCTTCTCCTAGACCTTTGTTTGCTTTAATATCATTGAGCTATCAACTCAAATGTTACTTCCTGAGAGAGGTTTTACCTTGTCATTTACTTTATCTACAGTAGTTGCACTGACTATTCTTTTGCCTATTATATTGTTTAATTATTTCTGTAACCCTTGAACTTCCATAAAGTTATGTTAAAATAATGTTTTGTTTAAATGTTTATTTGCTGGTCACCTGGACACCACCAGGAGTGATCCTTGAGTACAGATCCAGAGTAAGCCTAAGAATTTCTGGCTTTGATGCTCCCCCTAAATGTATATTTTCTGTTCTTCACCCCTAGAATGTAAGCACAGTGAAAGCTGAAATATACAACTAATATTTTCCTGGTGTACAATAGTCATTTTGTAATATTTGTCAAATAAATAGATGTCAATTATTTTTTATCACTTTTTTGTTGCTATTTGCATTGGTTTTTGTGGCGGACCTACGGTGATGCTCAGGTTGTTCTTCTGACTGTACTACAGAAACCATGCAGTGAAAGTGACTGAACCTTGGCCTCGAGTATGCAAAACATGAGCTCCATCCCATGGAACTATCTCTCTCTACCCCTATTCCTATTATCATTAGAGTAAATGTAGAAAATTCCAGTTCCACTGACAGTTGTATAAGTAGACTTCTCAGAAGAGGTTAACTCATTTTAATGAACGCTGTACTCTGCACTGACTTCTCAGGGGCCCTCCTTCAAAGTTGCCTGGATAACCAGCACATAGTCCTGTAAACCTGTTAAGTAATTCTTCTCTGATAATGATATTTAACTTTCACAGTCCTCCTGGTGTCAAGTTTCTTGTAAACTCACCTAGATGCAACACATGCATTTCTTAACTGATGAAAGTGTCAGGTGATGAATGATTTTAAAATTTATATTAAGAGGAGAATTTGGAATGAATTATTTCCCACCCCCCTGACTAGCATGTCGCTCGCGGTTTAATGGGCCACTGGCAAGGAGGGCTAGTGGCCCTAGTTAGGCGCGAGCCCTTGCTCTGCGCTGCTGACTGACCCCTGGGGCCACGTGCAAGCTCCCTGGGGGCTCTAAAGACAGCGCAGAAGAGATTAAAGTTTAGAGACAAGGACACATAAACTTGGAGTCAGTCTCATCATAGGATCTAAATTTCTAGCAGACTAAGTATAATTCAGGCAATACAGTGCATTGCAGAGTCAGGTGGAGCGTTGAAAATTGGGAAAGACATGGTATTCAAGATTCTAACTTCGCCAAGAGAACAGGAAATAGAATTAACGGAATAGAAAGGACACAGGAGAAACAAGAGACACCATTGAGTACTTCATAGGTTGTGCTTTGATAACCCAAATAAAACTGAACTGTGACCATCTTTTGGACCCCATTTTTTTTACATTCTTATAGCAGTCCTATAGTGCTTTGCTTTCTCATTTTGCTATACCTTTGATAAGCTTATATCTTTGCATGGAATGTTCCAAAATTTTAGGTTAATTCGTCCCAAAGTTAGTGATACTTACCAACAGGAGGACACTGAACCATCGTCGGGGCAGTAGGAGCCTCCAATGCAACTGCAAAACACTTTCTGCTTGCTTAAAGAAGATTTATTTCTAGGGGGTAACTGAATGGTTTTTTTTCTGAAAGGGGCGTGATATGCCAAATAAGTTTGGGAATGTATACTCTGCTCTCTAGTTCCTGATCGTCTCTTTTCTTACACAAGTCTTACTTGACCCATCTTGTTCAGCTGAAGTTCAGTTTCATGTAGAAGCTTACCCTGACAACATTTCTTACAATGTGGGAACATATTTTACTTCTCTTCTGTTTTACTTATTATGAAAGCACATAAACCACCATAGAGAAAGTAAAGGAAACTGGTTAACAGCACAACTTTAGTTTCCTCTGATTATTTGGAAAAGTTACGTAAACTGCTTAAACTTTATAACATTTTCATTGATAGAATAAATACTAACCAATAACATTTTATTATACTCTAGTATGTGTTAAATTATTTGTATTTACTATTTAATGTGTATTGTAATATTTGTTTCACAAAAATTCTATAAAGTAGAAAGTAGCTAATATCCTATCTTTTCAGATGAAAACCTGGGGTGAACAATGGTAATATGGGTATGTCCCGGCACAGCTAGCATTTGTACTCAATTTTTACATCTTCAGAACCCACGCACAATTAACCAACCTTATGCTAGTACATACATGCACCAAGCACAGTGCTTTGCAGGTAGTAAACATTAATAACAATAGTTGCTTACTTGAGTTCTCTATTAAATCATAAATATTTTGGAAATAAAGCCCATCCACGGGATGTCAAAAGACCACGTGGCCGCCCACCTACCAGATGGTCAGACTTCTTCGTCAAGATCATGAACGATCGGTTTGAGGCCCTTCATGTTCCCGGAGCAAACAGATGCCATTGGGCTACACTAGCACGCGACAGGGACAAATGGAGACGTTACTGGCGCCCGCTCGATCAAATCGACGACTAACGGGAAGTTAAGTGATTAAGTGAAAGCCCATCTCATTTAGTATCCTCATCTGCTATATAAAATTGCTTAATAAATATTGAATAAATATATGTATAAAAGAAAACAATCTTAGAACCAAGGGAAATACAAATGAGAGGTAGGTCAGTATTAATAGTAACCGTAATGCTATGAACTATAATTAAGGAGACAAGTTGGAGACCACCAAAAATAGCCTTTAAACTTGGTCAAAATAAAAGGAGCTTCCTATGGGGTCCAAGTTTGGGTGAATAAAATGGGGTAATATAGATATTACCACACAATGATAAGTCATAAATAAATGGTGGTTGTCTATAGGGAGTAAAAATTCAGGTCATGACTCACATTTAGTTTAACTAGTATTAATAATTATAGCTGTAGTCCGACATTTCCACACTCACAGTCGAAGTTGGCCAGCATTTGTGCCTCTTGGGTGATGTTTGGTGTTATTAGAACAATGTCATCAAGCTAAGTAGAGGTGGTGTAGTTGCCAACCATCTATCTTCACTCCCATTCCTTCCCATTCCAGTCGTCACATGACATTCTCGAGGGTGGCACTGAAGAGTTTCGGTGAAACCCAGCCATACTCCTCTCTTGACATCAATGATCCCCTCCCTGTAGAATGGTGAGATCCTGGTAGTGAATCCACAATACAGCTCAAGGAGGATCCTGATGTATTGAGTTTGAATGCCCTATTTGGCCAGGGCTTTGATGACTGCTTCAGTCTCAACCGAATCAAAGGCCTTCTTTAAATCAATAAACGTTAGGCAGAGTGGCATCTTGAACTCCTGAAAAACCTCAATGAGCTTGTTTATTGTGTGGATTTGGTTGATTGTGCTGAATCCTTTTAGAAACTGGCTTGCTCGCATGGTTGTTCTTCATCCAGTGTTCTGCCAATCCTATTCAGGATGACTCGAGTGAACAGCTTGTAGACGACAGACAACAGGAAGATCAGGGGATAGTTGCCAATGT